TGGTTTGCCAAGGGAGTCCACTGTGAACAAAGCTGGACCTCAGAACCATGATACGGTTGGATCAGTAGAGCGTGGTGTGAGAGAAGTCAAGGAAGCTCTTGCTGTTTTGCGCTTGGAACTGGCCAAGGCCGGATTGGATTTGGTCGACAGCTTGGTTGCCTGGGAGGCCGCTTCCAGGTATGTGACTGCTATGCACAACCTCCATGGCAAGATCCAGAACACAGGAAAGACTGGAAAGGAATTGCTCAGGAACACATCTGAAGGAACTCGAATTTCCGCCATGTTTTGCTCTAGGGTTCTTGCAGAGACCCCAGAAAGTGTTGACAGTATTGGACGGTTTGTCACTGCTGCGTATTTGTATCCTGTCAGGAACTCGTTTGCTCATTTTGTTTGTGCAAAAATTGCTGATGAACTGAAGTTTTTCCAAGCCAAGAGTTTGAAACTTGTTTTTCCGATTGAGTATCCACAAGATCTCATTGAACGTTTCGTTTGTCACTCGGGTTCAGGTGATCGTCCATCGCTTGTTGACCAGGCACCCATTGAGATTTTGCCCGAGGAGTTTGCACGACTTCCAGATCAGGTGCAGCCTCCACGACATTGGGTTGATGCTCATGGACGAACTGAAGGATGCAGTTCATGTGCCACTCGACAAGGTCGACATTCCAAGAAGTGCTGTGAGCGCTATTGGAATTGGATCCGTAACCAGAAGAAGGGAGAAGTGCCAGCTTTGCCCGACAAGCCTGAGGAGCAACCACCAATAGTTGAGCCCAATGACCCGGCTGTGGCCGTGCCTTCGCGACCATTGCTGCGCATCCCAGGTTTGCCTGCTGGGATGACCCCGGCGTGCCGTTGTCCAAGTTGTGAATCAGGTATGAATGCTCCAGGTACCCGGCACTCTGCCGAATGTCGCAAGCGACAAGCTGAGTTTGTGTCAGGTGAAACTGCCAAGCCATCGCTTGGTGATCTGGAGGATCTTCCGGTACAGGAAGGTGGGGTGAGAGATGGTTCTTACTCTCCATCTTTGGCTCCGGACCCAGTCGAGCCTGTGGACGTTGAAATGGCCACCGAGGACGTTGGCGACATGCCCATGGTTGATGTTTGCATGGCGCAGCCATATCATGTGGGTATGTTGACATCACCAGAACTTGTTCAACGAGATCGGTTTTCAGTGGAGTCAATTCAGTACGATGGCTACTGCAATGAGTTTGTCGTCATGGATTTTTGTGGTCAGAAGATCAAGCTTTGGAAGCCCAGTGGAGCCGTGTCTGATGTCACGCTCAGGGACTTGCCAGCTGAAGGAACCTTTTTGGCCATGCAGAAGGAGATTCGTGGACTCACTGCTGTTGGTGCAGGTCAGGTTCTTGCCGAGAATGTGGCGAGAGAGAGTGGCCAGCGCATCATTGGCACAAGGTGGGTTACCAACGAGAAAGAAGAAGCTCAGGAAGGTGTGCGCGCCAGAATCGTTGCCAAGGACTTTGCAAGTGGTCAGTCTGCCAGAAGTATGGGCATCTCTAGCCCAACGCGCAGTATTGAAGCACTCAGGATGGTTCTTGGAGTTGCTTGTGGGGCGTGGAGTGTTGGGAATCAAGCCATGTTTTTGGCAGGTTTGGACGTTTCTCAGGCGTTTATGAACTCACCAGTGGAGCGACCAGAAATTCTCCGGATGCCACTATCCATGTCAACTATGAAGGGAGAACCAATTTTTCTATGGGCTGAGAAAGGCATCAACGGTTTGAGAATTGCCTCTCAGGCATGGATCGTTTTCTTTTCATCGATTGTCAAGAGCATTGGAGTAGTTTCAGGTACTGTGGAGCCTTGTTTGTATGTTGGTCGAATGGTTGGCAAAGATCAGGCACCCATCGTCATCATGGCGTACGTCGATGATTTGCTTGTTGCCACCACTTCGGAATCAGCTCTCAAGACACTCATGACTGCACTATCAGCTCATGTCAAGGTTCGAGAGACTGGCCGCGTTGGTTTGAAAGGGGGACACTTGCGTTTCCTTGGTCGAAGTATCTTTCGAAGGCCAGGCTCATCTGCTTTGTACATGCAGGTGGATCCAACGTACTTGGATGAAGCTTTTGCTGAGTTTGATTTGAAGAAGGGAAGCACACCATTTCCGGATTTGCGTCCCATTCTGGAACAGGAAGGAAGCCAACCATTGTCAGCAGAAGGACATGCACGTTTTCGCAGAGTTCTAGGTCGTTTGTCACGGTATTGCCAAACTCGTCAAGACTTGTTGATTTTGGTCAGCATGCTTGGAACTGGTCAGGCACAACCGTTTGAGACCCATGAAAAATGTTTGCGTGCTGTACTCAGGTATCTTATGACTGACATGGATGTTGCATTGCGTTTTCCATCAGAAGAGCTTGCTTTGCCCGATGTGAAAGGTTTGGAAGTGTACACAGATGCTGGGTTTGCACCCATGAAAAGTACTGGACGTCGTTCTGTCTCAGGTACTTGCTTCATCTTTCAATAGTGTTTGATGAAGTGTTTCAGCAGGCACCAGTCAGCTGTGACGCTCTCCTCCTGTGAGGCTGAGCTTGTTGCATTACAGTCAGGTGTTCAGGAAGGAATCGGCTTGCTCAGGACTTTGGGTTTTGTGCTTGGTCGTTTGTATCCATGGGTTGACATTATCCCTCAGGACGCTCAGGTGACTTGGTATGACGAAGCAGAGTCCGATGACGAAGACTCTATGAAAGTTTCATACTTGTTTCCACTGGTCGTCAAGACCGACAGTTTGTCAGGGAAAATGCTTCTCGAAGCATCTGATTTGCAACGAAAGAGCCGACACATTGAGATTAAAGTTTATTGGCTCCGAGAGTTGATGGATCGCAAAGTTTTGCTTTTGTCACATGTTCCAGGAACTTTGAACCCAGCAGATTGTTTTACCAAGTGCTTGCCAACTCAGAAGTTTTTATTTTACAGGAACATGCTTGGATTTGTGAAAGTTGATTTCAGTTTGATTTCGAACATCCTTGGTTTTGCTTGAAAGTTTGTGACAACAGTTATTCAAAACCAATTTCATGTTTGTCAAACAGGAACTGCGTTTTGTGCGGAGAACGTTTGATTTCGTTTGTTTTGGAAGAAGAACTGCAAGTTTCAGGAGATCAGAGATCATTTCGTCATGTGAAAGCTGTGTTTGCTCAAGAAACCTTGACAAACCCGGACAGTTTGCATCTTGCTATCGCGCCGATGGCAGGTGAAGAAGAGGACAGCAAGTCTATGGTGTCTGGATTGACTCGTGTCGATTGGACGACAGGGAATCGCCGGACGGATCCAGAGACTGGTGAAGTGATGAGAAGGGATGAAAGGGTCATGGAAGTCACTGAAGCTGCACCAGAAGGAGCAGCTGCCTCAGGTACTCAGGAACAGAGAGAACCAGTGTCAGGCACTCCTGATACAAAGGAAGCAGCTGCGGGTGCGCCAGTTGCAGAAGAATCGAAGCCTTCAGGTGGACCGTCTTCTGGATCGAAGCGACCTCAGGTGAAGAAAATGCCCAAGAGGCCTGCAGCCAAGCTCTTGCCGAGGCGTTTGAAGGTCACCAAGGTGAGGTTGGAGCCTGGGACAACTGCCGAGGTGCCCGGGAAGAACCGCTTCAAGAACAGGGAGACGAAGAGACGCCAGAAGGCGAAGTGGGAAGAGATTAAGAAGACTGCCAGAGAAGAGCGTGCTCAGCCTGCACCAGCCTTTGCGAATGTCATACACCTCTTTCGATGCGTATTCATTGTTTGGTCGCTGGCGGACTCTCAACCAATCACTAATCACTTGCTGCAAGCTACGAGCAAATGTTGCCCCAACAAAACAAAAAAAACAAACTTGCTTTTAGCAAAGTCTTCAAGTCTATTTGACTTCACGTGATACTATATCAAATCATACCCACATGCGTGAGCAAAGCGACAGCCATTTAAGTATGACACTTGGATCTAGAGATTTGCTTGTTTTCAGCATGCCATCAATCCCTTTGAGCGCTCCTCCGAACACCTCAAAACTCTTTACAACCTCCTCCAAGACAGTATAAGCTGAACTTGCTTGATGATGCTGTAAACTCATCCTGTGCCATTCAGCTTGCATTGCCAGCTTGGAATAATGTTCTCCGAAATTCTCAAGTGATTTCAGAGATTTGTGAAAGTGTCTTTTGCTGCATAGCATGTGACACGTTTTGTGCGATTTGAGCAAGTCGTATGCAGTTTAGGGCTTGATTTCCAACTTTCCTGATAGCACGTTCAGATTTCGAACGCGGAACAGTGATTTCAATCTTTGACAGAGCGTTGAGATTTCGAACGCGGAATTCACACAGTGATTTCAATTTTGCAGAAACATTTAGACGTGTGAAAGAGGAATTTATAATCAGCTGCGGTACAGCTTATGAGTTTGAAGCCTCTCAGAAATCATCGTTTTGCGACGTTTCCACGGTTGAGACTTTTTGAACATCCTGATGATCTCCTATTGTCTTGCGTTTCCTGTGTCCAAGCAATCTGTGAGATCGAAGTTTTTGAACCGCTTTTGATCACATTTCCAATTTGAGAGCCGTGCAAATTTGCAAGAGTTTTTTTTTTCCGAACTAGAGTAAGCAGACATGACGTCTGAACCGAATGTGAGTTTGGAAACAATTAGAGAATTTGACCGCAACCAAGCTTTCAGCTCTCCCTGTTGCCACAGCATTGTGAACATGCTCAGCCGCATCGTGCTTCCTTTGATCAATGAGATCAGCATTCCGCCAACAACATGTTGGCTCAAGATTAGGAGGCGTAAATTCTGCTAGCACAGTGAGACAAAAAGGGCGTGAGTTGTCAAGCAGAGTTGTCCACATTCTCAGTTGCAATTATCTACTCTTCTGGGGTGATAATTCTCGCATGGTAGCGGAGCCAGTGTGCTCCTAGGAACCCCCCTGAATTGGTTTTCTCCTAGGATTTTCCAGGGTTCAGGATTGACAACAGACAACTGATCTTGACAAGAGATCTTGGAACCTACACCTAGCAGAATCTGATTTTGCAGCCATGGAGCAGCCGGCCAGAGACAGGTCACCAAGAGGCCGTTCTCAAACGAGAAGAGGAGTTTCTTTGCCTGCAACAACCGGATATGCCCCTGGAAGTGCAAACGCCTCCGTCCCCTTTGTCTTCGAGGAGCAACTCAGTCGAGTCCGAATGAGCATGGACACTTTACAAGCAGAAGTTGGCAAGGCAGTTCGAGAACTTGCAGGTCACCAGAAAACTCTTGTTGACACCCTTGAGCGTCAGCAGCATGAGCTGAATGATTTACGAGCCCAAAGAGTTCCAATCCCTCCAAGTGCTTCTCAGTCAGTGGCGGCTGCCAATGAGGATCGCTTCGGTGCCATGGGAGAAACCAGTCCTTTTACTTCTGGACAAGACCCGCCCATCCAATTGCCAGTGAATGCTCAGCAAGGTGCAGGTGGACTTGCATCGGCGATGCCAAATACTGCAGTGAATGCGAGCTCAAGCACTGGACATGGGGTAAAAATTGTCTTACCCGATGGTACGGAGATCCCCTTGGGCGGCCAGTCAAATGCCGCGGGTCCTAAAGTTCCTGGATCCACACAGCTAGATGCGCTGCAGAGAAGCGACAAGTGGCTGCCTAGCATGCCCGTGGTCGAGTCGAATCAGTGGAAAAGCCGAATGGAGGAGATTTTGGGCATGGAACAGTGGCTCGATTCATTTTGCAATTGGCTATCTTTGATTTCAGAGCCATTTTGCACAGAAGGGAAGTTTTCTGCGACTTCTCCGCTGCCAATTGACAAGAAAGATTTGTCAACTGACCAGATTTCCCGAAGCTCCAGGCTCATGGCAATGCTTCGCCAGACCTTCCAGATGACTCCGCGAGCCAAAATCATTCTGCTTGCTTATGTAGAAGGCCCTGGAGATAAGAACGGGTATGAGGCTTTGCGAAGGATTGTCCAAGAATACATGATCAAGACTCGTGCTGAGTTGATGCATTTCCGCACATCTTTGCTTGGCCAAACTTTCAAAGCTCAAACAGTGACAGAGGTAATCAAGCAAATTGAGTTCGAGGAGAGCCGGTACAACAAGCTTGCTCGGATGTTGCCCTCGAATGTACTAGCTTCCGATTTGGCCCTGCTCCCTAGTGATTTGGTGATGGTCCTCATCAAATCCTTGCCTGTTGGTGTGAGGGAATATGTTGTCATGCATAGCCCAAGCCATGACTATGTGCAAATGAAAAATGCCGCTTTGTTGTACGAAGCCAACCAGAGAACTTGGACAGAGATTGCAGGCAGCAGTTCTGCCACCTACATGCATGGAATGTTTGACACGAATGACAAGCCGAAAGGAAAGGGCAAAAGCAAAGAGGGTAAGAAAGGAAAGGGGAAAGCAAAAGATTCAAATAAAGGTGCAGCTAAGGGCAATGGTGAAAAGTCAGAGAAGGAAAGGAATGCCACGTGTTTCCGATGTGGTCGCACAGGCCATTTCTCTTCAAATTGTCATGCCAAGAAAGACAAGGATGGCAAGCCGCTTGAAGGGAAGCCCGCTCCAAAGAAAGATGGAAAGGGATCTGGTGAAGAGAAAGGTTCCAGCACAGGTCCTCAGAACAAAGGAAAAGGCAAAGGATCCAAAGGTAAGAAAGTCAATGAAATGCTTGAGCAGCCTGAAGGCGAATCGTGGCCTACCAATGGTCCAGCTGAAAGTCAGGGTTCCAATGGAGATGGCAGCCGTGCGTCAGCTGCGAAGCAAGCAGCAGCCCCTTTGAATCCCATTTTGCCTACTCAGTCTTGGTTTGAAGACACGATCGTGCAGTTTGAGCGAGAGCAGATCACAGAAGAGCAGTTCGATTTGGTCCACGGATCATTTCTCATGGAGGAACAATTTTCTTCTGATTTTGATTTTTCATGTTTT